ACACACACACACACACACACACACACACACACACACTCACACACACACCCACACTCAAACACATTCACGCGCACACACTTATTCTTTCTGTTGCAAGTGCTGTAGAACTTTTATTAAAATGAAAAAAAAAAGGAACTGTATAGGATATTCTCTTCCCATAATATTTCTGTCTGTTGTAAATAACAAAAAGAAAACTAACACCAGGCTCATCATAGTGTTCTGTCTTCTCTACCAAGACCCATTGAAAGAAAGAAAAAAAAATTCACCTGCTGTTTGTCAATGTGCTGCTTTTGAAATAGGTTTTTTAAAAGATTGAGTTACAAAAATAATGATTCATTTGCATAATTTTCTCATTTCGACCGTAACTAATAGTTATTGCTGTTGGCATATTGGAAGTGTGTGCTGGTTCATCACGTTTATCTGGCTGTCCGTGACAGACCCCCCCCCAGTGTGGATGGTTGGCGGGTGCTCTGGTGTGGTTTGTTCCTTCTTTCCTATCAAACATCTGTCGTCTTTATCTACCCTCCTTCTTTTGTATGTTTTGTTACTCTCTTGTAACACCTTTAATCTTCGGCACTTATATTATGACCTTATTGCGTTGCAAGTGCCGTAAAACTCTTACTGAAACTAAGACCCCCCCCCCCACCCCCACCCCCAGTGTGTATGAGCTGAGTGGTCTGTGACCGGTTCCTCATTGTTTCGCAGAGAAATAGAAGACTGTTGGGAGTACTTACTGGAATGTTCCACAGAGAGGTTTTAGTAGGTCGCTAGACAGTGCTGGGGTTATGTTTTGTCAGTCTAGCTTAGTTAAGTAAGAGTTTTACGGTGCTCACATATAACATGTGGAGATAGGTAGAGATAAAGAAAGATAGAGATATAGAGAGATAGAGAGATGGATAGATAGAGATAGATATAGATAGATAAATAGATTGATAGAGAGAAAGAAAGAGAGAAGGATAGATAGATAGACAGACAGACAGACAGACAGACAGACAGACAGACAGACAGACAGACAGACAGATAAAATGATAGACAGACAGACAGACTATTTATTTATTCATGTGTGTCTGTGTGTGTATTTGTAGGTATGTATGTTAGAAAGAGAAGAGAGAGAGACACAAAGCCTCCTCAACGGCTCTCATGGTCTAGAGGTTACGATGTTTGTCACTCTTTCAATTGGACCCTAGTTCGAATCCAGACAGTGATGGAACATTTTCCGCGCTAAAATTTTCGCCTTTCATCTTCTTTCCTGCTCTCTAAAAATGTCCTGTCGTCTGCTTTCATGTCCACTTTCTGCCCCCAACCCCTCACCTCCTTTGTCCCCTCCTCTGGGCTCCTGACTCTTTCTGCAGCCTTACTACTGCTACTCCTTGGCTCCTTCTTACTGCTGTCTTTCAGCCTCACCCCTGATCTTATGGTGGGTAAGATCTTATGTGAAAAGTCTCAGAGGTTATGAGTGCAAGTTGCGCTCGTTAAAGATCTCTTGATGGTCTAAAATCGATAAGAGTTGGCTTCGGCCTCCACCTAGGCAAAATTCAAAATTAAGTCCTACCAAACGAAAACACGTTAATGTGTCTCGTGCTCATATGACTTTATGCAGTTGCGAGCACCGTAAAACATAAAAAAAAAAAAGCCTCCTCCTCTTTCTCCTCTTCAGTACCCTCTCAATTATTAGCCATCAACTGGTCAAATAAAAATGATAAAATAAGATTATGATTTTTTTGGTTAGCTGGTCTTATCATAAGAGCAAAGGTATACCATTTGAGACGACTGTTAGGTGTCTACGCCAGGCATCATCATGATGACCTCTCTGTTTGTGACCATTTTTTCTGTGTCATGGTTAGTGTAATAATTTCCCCTGTGTTCAGTTTCAGTGACAATATTTCTCCTCAATATGGTGTCAGGGACAATATTTTCTCTGTGTCAAGGTGTCAGGGACAATATTTTCTCTGTGTCAAGGTGTCAGGGACAATATTTTCTCTGTGTCAAGGTGTCAGGGACAATATTTTCTCCTCGTCATGGTCATTTTTTTCTGCTCGTCACTGTGTCAGGGACAATATTCTCTGTGTCAATTTCATAGTGTCAGTGACAATTCTCTCTGTGTCAAGGTGTCAGTGACAATATTTTCTCCTCGTAGTGGTGTCAGGGACTATATTTTCTCTGTGTAGTGGTGTCAGGGACAATATTTTCTCTGTGTCAAGGTGTCAGGGACAACATTTTCTCCTCGTCATGGTGTCTCAGGGACAATATTTTCTCCTCGCCATGGTGTCAGTGATAATATTTTCTCTGTGTCAAGGTGTCAGGGACAATATTTTCTCCTCGTCATGGTGTCTCAGGGACAATATTTTCTCCTCGCCATGGTGTCAGTGATAATATTTTCTCTGTGTCCCGGCGTCTGTGATAATATTTTCTCTGTGTCCCGGCGTCTGACAATTTTCTCTGTTGTTTCAGCCAACAAAAAGCTGCGTCAGTCCGAGGGCCAGAAGTCCCTGCTCAAGTCCCCGCCCACAGAAGATGAGCGACTCATCATCCACGACATCTTCCTCTCCACCATCGACCTCCAGTGAGTACCCACTGTCCTCAGCTCTGTCCTCAGCTCTGTCCTCAAAAAAAAACCCCCCAGAATATGCAGTTTTTACAATTTAATTATCCCCTCAGGGCGGTGCTACTGACTGAAGTGTCTTTAGACCATTCCCAAAGGGGTACATTAACATGTTCTTATTCTCAGTAGAATTGTAAATGGGCTGATTCATCAATGTCATGCTCATAACTGTGCCTGAACTGCTTTTTCTTTCCTAATCCTTACTATCGTCATTTTTCCTCTACTTCTTTTATATGTTTGTCACTCTCTTGTGACCCATTATTTCCGGGGTGCATTGATAGCTGATGTAGACTTTGTGCAGTTGAAGCTAGAGAGGTGAGTAGAGTAAGCCTGATTCCCTGTTCGAACTTCTCTGTTGACATCCACCCCTTGCGGCTCATATGACCTTATGCAGTTGCGAACGCCTTAAAAACTCTACTGAAACTAAAAAAAAACCGTACAATTTTACAAGAGAGCCACAAAACTAAATGTATCATGATGTGGTGGAATCAGGCGCTCGTCAATTTTTGAGCATATGGAGCTATTGGTATCGTCTATAAGCTTGTTCATTTGTCTTGCTTTTGTAGAAAAAAAAATCACCTTTCTATCTTGAATGTAAGTCGAAATACTTGCAATTGAAGGAGGTAGGGGTGGCCTGGTTTCAGACTTATAATAGCGAGTAAATAGCCATCAAAGTTGGGTGACTTACAAAGCTTGAAAGTCCTTGGATTGGATACTGCAAATTTACAATTTTTGTGCCTTTTCAGTACAATCCACACATCGACGTATTTTTAAATGGACATCAAAGGTGTTGAGGGGAAAAAAGAAAATTAGGAAAAAATAGCCCAACTGCAGTAAAAATGCAGATTTCTTTGACTTCATTATTTTGACGAGCGCCTGATTGTACCACGATGCCTAAAAATGTTGTTTCCTAGAAAGACAAACTCTTTTCAAACATCCCAAGTCAATTTTTTTTAAGAATACGATTTGGATAATAACTTTGTTTTAAAGCAATAATTCTGTTTTCTTGGTAACACCGTTCAGTTTTTTGGCTCTCCCGAAAAATTGTAAAAAACTGCAAATACTGTATTTTTAAAAAATGATGACAGAGCTGAGCTGAGGTGTAGTTGTTAGGCTTGTTGCCATTGCACACAAAAGGTGGGAATTCAGGAATTATCCCCAGTGGGCTAAGGGATAAGGGATAAGCTGTTTCATTTTTCGAGTGTCTTCATCTTTTTGCTTGGAGATATGTCATAGGTCCTACTATATTTGTTTCCCTCTGTTGTGTCTGTCTGTTTGTACTTGCATGAAATGACTGTTATTGTGTCAGTGATTTCTTAAATAAGCATAATTGTGTCAATGTGTTTCTTAAATAAGCATAATTGTGTCAATGTGTTTCTTAAATACCCATCATTGTGTCAATGTGTTTCTCTAAGATTACCTTTCATTATTTTTTCAAGGTGTTTCTCTTAAATTGGTTGCTTTTAAGCACAATGTGGCTATCCCGAAAAATGCTGTTTTGAGAAAGTCAAAGGTAAAGTTTTTGGACCAGTTTTCGGTTTCTTTTAAAGACAAGGAGAGTTTTCTCTGTAACCAAACGAACATACACACCAATGAAACCAAACTTCTCCCATAGGTAGGGCAATGCCCTCTTTTGGTGTAGGTCAAGATTTCTGGAAATCTCAGAAAACTGGGTTTGCCCGCTTGTCCTTAAAAGTGACTAATTACCATAGTTGTGTTAATGTGTTTCTCTAAGACAACAAACAAAAAAACAAACAAACAAACAAATAAACAAGCAAACAAACAAACAAACAAGCAAACAAATAAAACAAAGAAACAAATAATCAAACAAGCAAGCAAGCAAGCAAACAAACAAGTTCCGCAAGACTGACGCCCGATCATCTATCATCTGGTCAGGTCCGGTACATTCAAGCTGAGAGTGAAGCCAAAGAACACAGTGTGGATGGATGAGACGATCCTCAAGTCCCTCATCGTGTGCCACCCAGAGGTAAGGGGCAGCACTCTTGTGGATCAGTGGCCGGTCTGATCAGTTCCGAGTTAGAAATTAGCCGTTCGAGAAGTTAAAGTTCAAACTTAGAATTGTTAGTGTTTTAAGTTAGAGGACTAATTATAAAACTTCTTCTGTCAATGTCTAAAGGTGACCAATGAATTTGCAGAGGAGGATATATCTCAGCTCCTTAGAAATTAGCTGTTCCATTTAAAAACAGAAATGACTTCAGCTGACATTTAAATGAATTATAAGATTTCTTTCCTAAACTACTGGGCAAAGCATTCCAGATCTTGGGGCCTTGATATTCAAATGCCCTTTCTCCCATTGTTTAAGTTTCATAGACGGTAAAACAAAATACATTTTGTTGCTTTTGACCTTAAACTGTGAGTTGGAATGTGCAGTTTCCACAGATTTGATAAATGTGATGGCGCATTGTCATTCAAGCATATGTGACATAGAGTGGCCAACTTGTACATAATTCTTTTCTTAACAAGAAGCCGTAAAAGAGATGGATCAGAATCTCGCTTTCTTTGCTGTAAAACTAAACGTGCAGCACTATTTTGGACAGTTTGAAGTCTTTACACTTTTTGCTGTGATATTCCTGATAACAAGGAGTTACAATAATCAAGTTTTGATAAAACTAAGCTATTTACTAATAAAGCAGTATACTTAGTATTGATTCGATTACGTATGTTACTGATTTTTACATTTCTTAATACATGCAGCTGATCAATTTTTTAAACTCAGTCGACATTGACAAACTTGAATCAAAATAGATGCCCAGATTCTTAACTTATCTTGAAAATGCAGTTTCTGCATCACCAATTATCATCATGTGATCGTGGTCAACCTCTTTAACAGACTTTGCGCTGCCTACAAGAATGACTTCTGTTTCATCATCATTCAACATCAATTTGTTTTGTTCATCCACTGTTTTTTACTGAGGCGAGGCAATACAATTTTCAGCACGATGGGCAAGTTTATCTAAGTTGGTAAACATTGTTGAACCATAAATTTAGATATCATCGTACAAATGATATTTTAAGTCAAACTTAACAATTTCCTTGACAAGTGGTTGAGTATAATAAATGATGAACAAAATTTGACGGAAGACTGAGCTCTGGGGGACCTCCGTACCTAATTTTTGTTACTATGCTCGTTTTTCTCGGTGCTGGTCAAGTGATATTTCACTATTTATGGTTTTTTTTTTTTTGTAATAGAAAAATTCCTTGTCAAAGATCACAGATAATAATAGCTTTGTGTATTTGTGTGTCAAGTTTGAGGCTTTAACTCCAATATTTTCTTTGGAAAACGCCTTCCCGCATAACACAGAAAAAAATCCCAGATGGCCGCCACAGAGACTAAATAAATTTCGTCATAATTCTTCTTATTAATTTATAATTAGCTTACATCACCTTTAAAAATTGAAAGAAAGTTAATTCCCCAGAAAAGTCCTCGAATCATGTACTTTTCACGTTAACTAGAGCAATTTTAAACAAATCTGGTACTGATCCATGCTCTAGATAATCATGTATGATTTTGGTAATGAATGGGATCAATTTGTTAACCCTATCCGTAAGTGGTGTTTTACTATTGCATCCTTAAAACGTGGGGAACTCTGAGCCACCACTTTCAAAGAGGAAATTTACTCGTTAATCTAATCTGCGCCCTTTGCCTAGCAGTCTGTCAAAAACATTTTTTTTGAAATACTGAAAGTTTCAAAGAGATCTTCGTACTAGAAGTATTCTAAAATGTGAAGAATACAACCCCGGGGGTACAAAATGACCCCAGGGCATACGGATAGGGTTAATGCAGGAAGACTAAAGAGAAGTAGGGACACGACGCTTGCTTCGGGATTTTAGAATGACTGATTTAATGTATTCTTCAGAAACAGGTTTATACTTATCCATAATCATCCCACCATAGACAGCAAAATTACCTCATGTTTCAAAGTTATCTAGGTCATTTGTTAATTTCTTGCCTTTATCTGTGAAATAATGAGCAAACTTGTTGGGTAATTCAAGGTGCTTGTCTCATACAGTGTCATTGTAATGATTTAAAAAAAATGCAAGGGGGAAAATGGGAAGTGGCTGTTTGTATAGGTGATTGTCTTATTCTCTCTCTCTCTCTCTCTCTCTCTCTCTCTCTCTCTCTCTCTCTCTCTCTCTCTCTCTCTCTCTCTCTGCCCCCCTCTCTCCCTCCCCTCCCCCTCCCTCTCCCCCCTCCTTCTCTTCCCCTCCCTCTCCTCCCCTCCCTCTCCTCCCCTCCCTCTCCCCCCCTCCCTCCCCCCCTCTCTCTCCCCCTCTCCCTGTCCCTCCCCTTCCCCCTCGTCAAATGTTTCTCATAAACAATAACCACAACTATGTTCTCTGCTCCCTCCGCCAGCAAAGAAACCTCTACAACAAGATATTTGGAGGCTTCCTCATGCGAAAAGCCTATGAGCTGGCATGGACCAATGCTTCCCTTTACACGTGGGTACCTCCTTGTTTTCTCACTCTTATATGCCAGATTACATGAAGTTTTTAAGAAATTCTAAATGGCAGCTTATTTTTATGGCCTTATTGACACCATTCTTATTATTCAGGAGGCGGGCTTCAACGTGGCACATTTCGAACCATAATACGCAAATCTGAAACACGAATTTGAATATTTATACATATTATATTTGTGAAAGTTCATCACTTTGGCCGCCTAAAACTTCGGAACCACTTAACTTCCGAATTTGACAAAATTGATAGTGGTTCAGAATCATCTAAAGGGTGCACAGTTCTATTGAGGAGCCTGAAGTCACTGTATTTTAATGTTCAGTTTTTCATTAGTTTCATTTAGATCTAATATTGGTAAAGTCTGTCTTCTAAGACACCTTTGTAAACTAGTGAGGTTTCTTTTCAATAACCGTGCGCACTGGTTCCACTCCTTTGAAACTCTGGAGTGTGCAACCATGAAAGCGGAATAGAGTAGAGAATCAATCTATACATCACTATCTAAACCTTCTAATTTTGCGCATCTCTCAGGATTTATTGCTCCATTCCAGTAGATCTAGAGTGTAAATATAGTAGGCCAATGACTTTCAGTCGATGTTATTGCACCGATCATTCCTTTCATCGAAAGGGAACCCAGGTAGTTTTATAATATTCATATTACTTTGCCTGCTTTTTCAAGTTTCTAATAAAGAAAAAAACGTAGAATAAAAAAATAATATCTTAATGAAGGTATGGTTTTTTAAAAACTGTCTAATTTATTATTATTTAGACATTTTGTCTCTGGATATTTCAGGAACACTCGACCTCGTATGTGCAAAATTGTTGATGACATTTTGTTCCTGAAGCCAGTGGAAATTGGGGACCTCCTCTTCCTCTCCTCCCAGGTGGGTTATCTTGTTGAGTCATTTGATGATGTGTGGTCGTCCTCTTCCTCTCCTTCCAGATGGGTTAGCTTATCGTCAGCTGGCTGTTCAGATGTAGGCTACAAAACCAACATTGTGAATAAAAGATTTGTTAAAATTGCAGTTTTTAAATCTTTGATATTGGTTGCCTGTATGAGAAACATTTTGTCAAAAGTCGAAATTTAAATTCTAAATGTTGAAAAAAGCAAGAAAATATGCACAAAGCAGGTGCAATTGTTAAGAGAATGAAAATTTTTCTTTGCTTTCTAGGCTGGGAACAGTTAAATGGCTTGACGACATTACATGGTCTTTACACCATGTTGGGGATGAGTGGTTGGCGGTTGCTCTGATGTGATTTGTTCCTTTTTTCCTATTATTACTATCTAACATCTATCATCTTTATCTCTCCTCCTCTTTTGAGTTTGTTAATCTCTTGTAACACCTCTAATCTTATTATATGACCATATTGTGTTGCAAGTGCTGTAAAACTCTTACTCTTACTAAAACTTAAAGACGGGCGTGTGACAGCAAAGAAACAAGTCTACTCAGTCATTATGACAGACCACAGAGTTAATTACACTGTTGCCTCCCTTAATCACAGGGGAAAAAAAAAGGGAGAGGGGGGTTCTAAGCGTTGATCTAACGTGTGGTAAGTGTGTGTTTTGTCTGTATTGTGTGTTTTTATGTGTGTGTGTGTGTGTGTGTGTGTGTGTGTGTGTGTGTGTGTGTGTGTATTTTAATTTGTAGTATTTGTGTGTGTAGATAGTCTAATGTGTGGAGTGGTCTAACGTGTTGTCATATGTGTTTTTGGTCTCATGTGTAGTATGTGTGTGTTTGTGTGTGTTGTGTGTGTGTGTGTGTGTGTTATGTTTGTGTGTGTGTGTGTGTGTGTGTGTGTGTGTGTGGTTTAATTTATAGTATTTGTGTGTATAGATAATCTAGTGTGTAGTGTTACATTTAAACTTGTTAACTTGTCCACTGTGTTGGGGTCACAGTAAAACTCTTACTAAAGCTAAGCCAACACTTTTTTTTTTCTGTAACAGCTAACGGTTGGCACTTGCAACACAATAAGGTCAAATAAGTGCTGAAGATTTGAGGTGTTACAAGGAAGTAACAAACACAAAAAAGAAGGAGTGGAGATAAAGACAATAGATGTTTGACAGGAAAGAAAAAGAAAACACACACCAGATCACCCATCAACCTTCCACTTACATCTCTAATAATCTTTAGCACTTACATATATGACCCAATTGTGTTGCAAGTGCCGTATAACTCTTACTAAAGTTAAGCCAACACTTTTTTTTTTCGTAAGAGCTTTACAGCACTTTCAACATAATAAGGTCATATGCAGTCGGAATATGTCCATCTCTGCTCCTCCCCCCCCCACCCCCCCCTCTTCAGGATCTATCCCAGAGTTTGTCTGCTTATAGTATAGTCTCCATCATAATCTGGTTGGAAATCCGTTGGACTGGTCCGCACAAGTGGTACGTGTGTTGGTCTAATGTGTAGTGTGTGTGTGATTGCAGATCGTGTACTCCAAAGGCCAAGACCTACAGGTCCACGTACACGCTGAGGTCGTGAACCCTGACACGGACGTCCGACAGACCACCAACGACTTCCACTTCACCTTTGACACCGGCCTCCCAGATCTGCCGCAGGTGCTGCCCAAGACTTACGCAGGTTAGTGGTGGTTGTGGCGGTCACTCGGTGTTGGCCTAGTGGGTGGTTGGCGGGTGCTCTGGTGTGGTTTGCTCCTTCTTTCCTATCAAACATCTATCGTCCTTATCTCTCCTCCTTTTTTTTGTGTTTGTTACTTCCCTTGTAACACCTCAAATCTTCAACACTTATATGACCTTATAGGGTTGCAAGTGCCAACCGTTAGCTGTTACGGAAAAAAAAAAGTGTTGGCTTAGCTTTAGTAAGAGTTTTACAGCACTTGCAATACAACTGGGTCATGTAAGTGCTGAAAATTATTTAAAATGTATTAAACATCTATCGTCCTTAACCCCCTTTCTTCTTTTTTGTGTTTGTTACTCTCTTGTAACACCTCTAATCTTCGGCACTTATATGACCTTATTATGTTGCAAGTGCCGTAAAGCTTTTACGAAAAAAGAAGTGTTGCCTTAACTTAAGTAAGAGTTTTACGGCACTTGCAACACAATTGGGTCTTGTAAGTGCTAAAGATTATTAGAGATCTAAGTGGGTGGTTGGTGGATGCTCTGGTGTGTGTTTACTCTGTCTTTCCTGTCAAACATCTATTGTCCTTATCCCACGTCCTACTATTTTGTGTTTGTTACTTCTACCTTCAGCACTTATTTGTGTTGCAAGTGCCATAAAACGCTTACTGAAAGAGAACAAGTAAAACAACATGATCATTTATGAGGTGCACTTCATGTCTACCTGTCTATCTCACCCCGTACTGAGAGGGATACAACATCCCAGCACATAGACTGAAGCACTCGGAAATAATTCTCCCCACATGGGAATCGATCTCAAGTCTTCTGCATGTGTGTCGATTAAGCGCCTAACTGCTACACCACAGACCCCAGTTAAAGTCTGTTGATAATTTCTATATTTGGAGTTGCAACAAGCACCCATTTGAACGTGCTTCTCAAATGTAAATGTCGTGCACATGTGTTAATGTTCTGCACCAACGAGAATGTTGCTGTTTGTTTGTTTCATGATTCATTGTTTGTTTGTTTCATGATTCATTGTTTGTTTGTTTCATGATTCATTGTTTGTTTGTTTCATGATTCATTGGGTTTTTTTTGTTTTACTTTGTATCATGATCCATTGTTCGTCTAACTCATGGCTCATTGTTTGTTTTGTCTCACGATTCATTGTTTGCTTATTTGTGTCATGGTTCAGTATTTGTTTTGCCTCATAGTTCATTGTTTGTTTTGCCTCGTAGTTCATTGATTGTTTTGCCCCATAGTTCATTGATTGCCTCATAGTTCATTGTTTGTTTTGCCTCGTAGTTCATTGCTTGTTTTGCCCCGTAATTCATTGACATTGTTTGTTTGTTTTGTCTCGTAGTTCATTGATTGTTTTGCCCCATAGTTCATTGTTTGTTTTGCCTCATAGTTCATTGTTTGTTTTGCCTCATAGTTCATTGTTTGTTTTGCCTTGTAGCTCATTGTTTGTTTTGCCTCATAGTTCATTGATTGTTTGTTTGTCCTCAGAGTCCATGCTGTACCTTGTGGGCAAGAGGCACATGGAGAGCTGAGGAGTCTCCTGGGTCGGTGTGTGAGCTCAGAAAAGTGATTGGCGGGTGCTCTGGTGGGGTTTGCTTCCTCTTTCCTATCAAACATCTACCGTCTGTATCTCCCCTCCTTCTTTTTTATGTTTTGTTACTCTCTTGTAACACCTCTAATCTTCTGGCGCTCATATGACCGTATGCAGTTGCGAGCGCCGTAAAACCTCTACTAAAAAAAGAGTTTCTGACTGGCGGCCCCATTAATGTCTTGTGGTGGGGCAACGCTGACCTCACCTTTGTCTGACCAGATTTGTTTGTGGAGGACTTCAAGTAAAATTGCCCGGTGATTCAATATATTATGTGTCATGACATAATGTTCTCAGGCTCTGGTCAAGTTCTGGGCGTGTGGAGCTTTTGGTAGCGATTGTAAGTAAAGCCTGTTCATTTTTCTCGTCTCTGATGAAAAAAAAAAAAAAGGACTCTTTTGTCATGAATAGGTGTTTAGATATTTGCGCTTGAAAAACACTAGGGTCAAGGTATCAGAGGTAAAATTTGTGAGGATGAGGGTCCTTGGAAAGTATTGATTGACATTTTTTGTGCCTTTGTTCATTGTTCTGTTAGTAAAATCCACACAGAAATGTCTTTGTAAATGGACGTAGAAAGTGTTGAGCAAAAAGCAAATAATTTAGGTAAAAATTGGCCAACAATTGGAAAAATGTATGTTTCTTCCACTTCATAAATTTGACGAGAGCCTTATTTCATAATGGTGACGAACATATTATGTCGGTGGTGCAAGAAAAAAAATGAGCAAGTCAAATATTTTTTTTACTCAGCCCTTAAATGAGGGTCAAATAGATTTACTAAATGTTCTTGTGACAGTGATGAAACTACATGTACTTATGCAATGCGGTGGGTATTGTTGTTGTTGTTGTTGTTGTTGGGTTTTTTTTTCCTGATGAGCCAAATCAAACTGTACTGTATAAAAAGCATGCTCTGTAAGGATTTTGGTGCCTGTTCCTATGTCTGGTAACTTTTGGGGCACAGACTGCTTGGACTGTTCTTGACTTCTGGGCATATGGCCTGATGTAGCATTGCAAATTCTGTATAACTTTTACAAAATGTGCGTTAGAGATTCAAGTTCCTCAATTGATCGCCTGATGTTATGTGTAAGCGTCTGCTTCTACGTTTTTCACAATGTTTCGTTAGTTGTGTTTTGAGTCACAAGTTGAGCTCTATGTACAGCCATCTGCTGGTTGACTGTCTTTTGTTTCGTGTAGAAGCCTCGCTGCCGTACACAGGACACAGCAGAACCTTGCCTGCGGGCGTTTGGCAGGTGCTCTGGTGTCGTTAAAAAATTTTCTTTCCTATCAAAGATCTATCGTTCTTATCTCTCCTCCTTCTTTGTTATGTTTGATACTCTCTTGTAACACCTCTAACTTTCAGTATTTATATGATCTTATTGCCTTTCAAGTGCTGTGAAACTCTTACAAAAAGGAAAATATAAACTTGTCTGAGTGTGGGAAATATATCATTACCGTATTATATCATGGCATATAAGGCGCGTGGGCAGATAGGATGCAGATATAAACTTCAGAGCCAAAATTTTGGTACAAATGGTATGTGTCATGACGCAATGGAATCAGATTTTCATCAGTTTTTGAGCATATGGAGCTATTGGTATAATCTGTAACCGAGTTCATTTGCCCTCTTGATGAAAAAAAAACAACCCTTCTATCGTCAATAGAAGTTGAGATATTTGCAAGTGAAGGAGAGATAGGGTTTCCTGGAGTCAAAGGTAAAATGAGTGAGAAAATGGCCGTGAAAGTTTGGTGACTTACAAAGCTATAATGTCCTTGGAAACTGAAAATTTACATTTTTTTGTGTGTCTTTGATCAACGTTTTTTTTTTTTAAATTGCAAAATCCACTCAGAAAAGTGTTTTCACATGGACATAAAAGGAGTTGAACCAAAACAAAAAATGTCGATAGAATTTCCCCCGTCTCTTGAATTTTATTATTTTGACGAGTACATGATTTTCTCCCACAATGCCACATGTTTATCGGATAATAATATGCCTTAATTTTTTTCGTGGAAAGCACCATTACTTTTGTAGGTGGAAATTTTTGTCAATATTTATCAACCACACTTTGACTTTGAAACAAAACGAAGATCAGTTTTGTTTTTTACTACCCTGTTTTCCATCAGCAGTCTTAGATCTCGGTCTACACAGAGTTCATTCCTTTGGTCAACCTGCACTGGGTTTTTTTGGGCGGATGGGTGTAGTTTCATATCTCATGGGTAAGGTAAGACACAGGGTGATTGTGAAGAATTGACTTCTAGTTGTAAAGTTGTAAAGTCCTACAGGACCAGTAATCGTGAGATTGCGGGATTGGGGGTCAGAATCTCAGCTCGGTCCAACATTGTGTCATTGGGAGAGGTTCTTTTCACGAATTTCCCATTTGGCTCGATCCTTTTGGAGATGGACATAACACTCGGATCTCCCACCTCTTAAATAACCTTAGCGTTGATAGGGAGGGGTATTAAAGCTCTACTATTTCACTATTTTCACTATCAACATCCTATACTCGATGATATTTAGTACATATCTAGCGTTTGATGGTGTTCATGTGTTTTAAATGAAATTATCTGATGTGTGTGTGTTTGGTTTTATTGTTGATAATGACAATAATGGGGAACAATTTTAATGAATATAATAGGGTCTTTTTATAGTTGGGAGTTTATTGTGTTCATTTTTACAACAGAATTTGTTCTTTTTAAAATGTTTTTTAATGATCAGTGTTCATCTGGTGACAAAACAGGGACTTTTCAATGACACAGCACTTTGTTCCCCCAGTAGGCTAAGTGTGTAAGGGGAACATTTCTGTAAAAGTGATGAAAATTTGGACCAGCGTGGATTAGAGTTCCCTCAAGATACAAAATGTAGAGAAAATATGTATTTACGTGCCTAGTTCATGCTGTTGAACTGGTTTTGTCTCTTTCAGAAAGTTCTATTTGTGTGTTTTGATACTGATTGATGCCAAAATGTTTTTGGAAGAAATTCTTGTTCATTTACAATAGTCTCGATCTTGGACGTGGTATGATTATTGTTTTGTGGATTGACACCAGGTAGATGCTGTTTGTGCTGCCTGATTGTTGTGTGTTGTTGAATTTACGGTATTGCAGTCATATTTATCAGTCACACTGTGGGAAGGACCAGATCTGTGTTTTTGTATAATTAGCCTGTGTGTTTATTATGTTGATGTTTGGAGTTAAATTTTAAAAGACAGTACATCCAGTTTTGGACAAAATTGCAATATCGATTCCACCTGATAGTTTCAAACTTGACACATTTATATATATATATATATATATATATATATATATATGCTGTAGTCTGGTATCGATATCTTTATTGAATAAAGTGGGGAAAGTGTTTTGAAGATATTCAAAGTGACTGGCTATTGGGAGGCAAAGATTTCGGGGATTTTTTTTTGTGGCTCTCCTGGATATTTTTTTTTATACTGTTTTTAAAAATAAAACCTCAGATTTTTTTTCTGTCTATGAGAACAAGCACACCGACGCCTGTGGTGTAGCAGATATTTATGCTCTTTGCTCTCGCACGCTGAGGATGTGGGTTTGATTCCGGTGTAGGGAGCATTTTTCTTGACTTATCTCGATCTTTCTGAAGGGACGTCGTATCCCTCTCCTCAGTGTGGGCTGGCCTTGACAGCCAAGGTTAAAGCAGCCTGCCAGGTAAATTATCTGGATTGTGTCGACTGGCGCGTTAATGCTCAAACATTTAGTAGAAAAAAATCCTATAAATAGGATCATTATCATCATTGTCTTTCTCTCCCTGCACCAGGGTATAGGCCATGAACAAACACTTTCCACCTTTCTCTATCCTGGGCTAGCCTTTTGATGTCATTCCACGTCTTCCCACTTTTCCCAGTGGGTTTCGCTGACTCCTAATTGTAACTTGTGTAGATTCCACGACGCAATCTGGAGAGACTTGTTCGACAGAGAAGGTTTTTTGTCAGGAGAGTCCTTTCGGCTTTAAATAGGATGAGTACGGACAGTCAGTGGCGGCTGTTTCTACAAAGTCACCAACTGTGGGTGGAGGAGGGGAGCGTGTACAGTGGGTTTAAGTGTGCACTTTGTTAGACATTAATTGTCTTTATTTAGATTTTATTGTAATAGTGTTCACTCGAAGACTCAATCATATTATTATTTTATATCGTGATCTACTCTGCAAATTTACATTTTTTGGTGTCTTTTCTGTGATGAAGATAGCTTATACATTTTACTGTAATAGGTTTATTTGTTAAGTTAGTTGTTCATACTTTGTATATTTTTATCATGTCACTGTCTTAGACCTTCCC